CTCTTCGCAAGATTGATGAGAGTGATTGATGATTACTATGGTATTCGTGAAATTGAACGAAAATAAATATACATCGTATAATTTATTGCGTTAAAATTAATATTTCATGGGGGGGGGGTTATAGGAATTTTTGGAATTTCGGATAACAATGTATGAAGATAATTACGAAATAATATTGAATGTAAAATAAATAATAATAATAAACGAAGGGATATGAATCTAACGTGCAAATATTAATGAAAATATAGAATGAAAAAGATGTACGTGTGAGTGTACACGTGTCACGTTGATTCGAACAATTGATAACTGGTTTGGTGGAAATGATAGTTAAGATAAACGGATATTCGTGGAAATGATAGGAAACAAAGTGTAAACAATTACGGCAGATGATGAAACGTGTTTGTGTTTCGAAACGCGTGACAACGCGGAAATATGGATATGTATATTATTCACAAGTCGTTGTAATAAATAATAAAAGAGAAAAATAAAAGAGAAAGATTTATATTTAATCAAATATATGAATATTAAACATCGCAAACTTGAACGAAAGATGAAAGAAACGGAAGAAGATGAAAGCTGAAAATTGTTTGACCTTGAAAAATTCAAGGTGAAAGTTATATTTTTTCACAGTTCTTAAATAAATATTTGATCTCAAGAAATTAGAGTCAAATCGAAATCCTCATTTTTTTTTTTTATTCATAGCTCGAATAAACAGCCTTGGAAGTTTAGAATCAAAATAAAAGCTCTTAAATAAATATTTGATTCTTCCGAGGTACTCTACGAGAGGTAAGACAAAATATTTGACCTTGAAAACATAAGATAAGGAAATGCAAAGGTTGCAAAGAGAAAAGCTTCGAAGCTTAATTCAAATTCAAACTATATACTTTATTTTCTCGAGAATAACTACTACAAGTATAAATACTAACATTTTCCTTATGAATCAAACGCAAAAGTTATAAATACTTATTTAACGTTTAATAAATCTCATTATATTCGATATAATTTACTTTAGATATTTCGATTTTTAGATCAAATAAATATCTACTTTTTTTCTCTTTATTAAATTCACGTTATCAATTCTAAACTTTGCATTTCTCACTTGGAATAAATAAATATTTAATCTTGAAACGATAAACCACTTTATATTTCTCGTCATAAATCTCGTAGCTTCAATCAAATTTCTCGAATTCTTACTTTAACTTTCATTTATAATTTCAATAAAAATCCCATCGTTGCCCGTTTCTTTCTTCTTTTTTTCCTTTTTCTTTCTTTTTTTTTTTTTTTCACCACGTGTAATAAACGTTGTTTCGAATATTGAAATTTCACCCCGTTTACACCACGTTTCCTCAAAACACTGGGAATAACCGAGTTGAAATATATTAAAAAATTCGGCCCGCTGAAATATTCATTACACGCGATTTCAATCATCCGTTCACCTTCCTCCTCCTCCTCCTCCTCCTCTTCCTCCCTTCCTCCCCTCCTCCCAACGGTCGATTCGCTTGCGCATTTGCATTCGTATTTACCGTGAACCGTGAATGAAAATTACAGAAACCTCGTTCAACCAACCGAAACGGTTAAAAACGTCGATTACCGAGCTCGATGCGTGTATAAGTATCGCGACTGGTCCACGCTTTTTTTTTTTTTTAAAAAGCCTCGCTCGCAATTTTCAACTCGTGCTTTTCACGCGTCGAGAGGAGACAACAAGCGCGTCTCGTTGGGTCGAATTAGAAAAGTTCTTCGCTTTAATCGCACCGCTTCCTGTGATTATTTCAGATATGCGTTGTTCGAGATGGAATCGGTGGATCTTTTAAAAGTTGTGTATTTTTTTTTTTTTGTGAAACATTAAAATTATCACGATCGCGGAAACATGGAAATGCGAACGAGCAAAATATTTCTGTATAATATTGTGGCACAGAGAATTTATAACGATTATAGCATAAAACAATTTAAGAGGATTTTTTTTTTCTTTAGATTACGCAAAAATTCTAAATAATACGTCATCTTCGTGATTTCAAGTGTTTCGAGGGAACGCAAAGATTGAGAAACACTGTGTTATAAGTTTTATAAAAGTTAGGCAAGAATCGGTATCATAAGTATTAAAAAGTTACGAAATTTGAAGAGATTTCGCGAAAACACTATGAAAATTGAAACGTAAAATGATAAGTTTTAACAATCCTTAAAAAATAATTCGTTAATTTTATTGGATTGATATTTTACACCATATTTTACTTTTTTATCTTATTCAATATACACGAACATACATATAATTTTTTGAACATTTTGCAGCAATCATTGACAGGTTCGATAAACGTCATTTCAAGTGATACTTTTTTATATCGGAAAAATTCATGAAAAACGTGTAAAATGTTCTAGTTAAATAAAAAAAAAAAAAAGGAAAAAAAGAAATACGATTGGAATCAAATGGGCTGTATGAATATGTAGAGATACGAAAAGCCAAGTGTCGTTCATCAAAATAACGCGATAAAATATTGCTCTGATACTCGAACACCCTTAATGTCGATGTTATCCCGATGGATCCTCCAAGTGTCGGAATCCATGTCAAAATTTTCACGTCAAAATTTCGCTTTGACGCATTATTTAATTAAATTCGAGCGATGCGTGTCGACAAACGCTAATGAACTCGTTGTGAACATATGGTTAACGCGTTGATAATTATCAATTTCTCCAACTTTGTCTCTGAAATCCGTGAAAAATAAACGTCTTTGACGAGTTGCAATTGCAAAATATTTCAATAAATATTTCACATTGAGCGATCCGATACAAATTTCGTACACGTTCACTGAATTATTATAATTTTATGATCAATATTGTTATCTTTCTGCGAAATATAATGATTATGAACGATTATGATTCATTCAGAAATCGTGGAATAGTTAAAATATTTTATATTATTTTATATTTTGTATCGATCTCTCGATATTCGTTTTGTTCGATTGTTACATTTCATTATAGAATTTCCATGAATATTAATATTATTTGTAACGTAATTTTACATTCCTTTACATTATTTTATTAATTTTTCTATTAATCTCGACAGGATTAAACGACGATGTATTAATTATTATCTGATTAACAGATAACAGAATCTTGATATTTTTTTTCTTTTTCTTTCAAAATGTCCACCTATCATCTTATCAACCTATCATCATCAAACATAACTAATAGACTAAAAATTCAATATATCTTTATAAAAGTATCCACATGTTATACAGATGAACAGGCAGGAACATCCAGCATTCACCAATTTTACATATTTCCAAACTTAATACCTTTACTTCCAATATTCCAATGAATGGTTCAAAACCATCCCCTACAGAATCTAACAGATGGCTCGCCAAATGGAAGAATCTTGTTTCCTGAATCATCCCTGTGCCTATATTCATTAATAACTTTCATCCCTTACTTACTATTCACCCTATAATAAAACGAATACCCTAACAGAGAAAGAGCCAAGGGATCAAGAAAAAAATTTTATTTATTATTTATTTTTCCAGTTGTAACTATTAATTGAATTATTAATTAAAAATTATAGTATAGACGTGACTAATAATTTTAATTTAATTTCTCTTGAGGAAAATTTTAATTTAACTTTTGATTAGTCCTTCCTCAATGCACAACACATATTTTAGTTATTCGTTAAATAATTAAATCGAATTTCTATAAATTATATATTTTTTCTGTAAAAATTGACAAAAGAAATACATTTCTGTCATCAATACAATTGGTTAAAAAAAAAAATTATTTCGTTCCTTCTAAAAGTATTTAATGTATTATATTTAATATTTATATTTATTATATTTAATATTTAAAAAAAGTTAGAAAGTCGTACGAATAAACGAGCACGAAATGTATATTCTTATTAAATTAAATTAGTCGATTTGTAACAATTAAATGATCTTGAAGTCGAAAGTCTAAAGAAAAAACGCAATTCAATTTACAGAGCTGTTCGACTAGCCAGTCAGATGCGTAAACAGGACGTGAAAATCCGTGAAAAAGTTTCAATTATCCCGGGCAAAGATTAAATTCCTAGCCGAGAATCAGAGATTAAAGCGTTAAGGAGAAACGGAAATTTACGTTCCTTGATGAATTTGTCCTTTAATTTTTCTTAACTGACTTTTATATATTTAATAGAAAGAAAGAAATGCGAGGCGTTGAAATAATTTCTCAAACATCAAGGAATTTCCTAATTTACTTGAAAATATAGAAAATTTTCTATTACGTAATTTTTTTTCATGTTGAAAGTTTCTAATTAAAAAATTTTGCGCTGTGAAGAAATTGAAATTAATTCAACGAAAATTTGAAATAAAAGGACACGTGAGAGAGAAGTAAATCTTGAAATAAATTCTTAAAACTTTAATTTTCCTTTCAAATATCCTTCTTTGCTTAATGAAAAATTTTTTCTTTGGTTTGAGGGATTTTTATTGTAACTCTTAATTTTACAATTTAGTAAATGTAATACTTTATTGTGAAGTTGATAAAATTTGGAAGATTTAATAACTACTTGAATTAATAATTCTAATTTCTTTATTAGTTTAAAAGAACAATTCTTATCTGATTTTTAGCTTAACAATATTGAAGAATTGTTCCAGTATTAAATTCTTTAATTATATTATAGAAATATTTTGTAAAAAATAAAAAAAGTAATTTTATAAAATTTCATATATTTGTATTACTTTCAGATATAGAGTATAATATAAATACAAGAAATTTCATCCATCCAAAGCGTTAAAGAAACTCAACCGAATCCCAAATTAACATTATCATTTCGATATTTTTGAATTTAACAAAAGCAGCACTTTTTATCTAATTTCTATTCCTTAAAATCGGATTTTCGATGTAAGTAGTACAAACCTATTAAATTTCATCCAGAGATATAATCCAAAATGTTGAAGAAACTTTGGATCAAGTCCAAAAGTCGAAGGATATCTAATATCATGGAGCGAACGCGAAAAAGGCGGAAAGGTAAAATGTTCTCTCACCTGTCCCGAACAAAGAGAAGAGCAGCAGTAGTGCGAGCCGCATTTTCGTCGGACACTTTCCCTCGCACCTGGAACACGAATCGTTCGCGATCGAAGTGGCACTCGAGCCACTCGCTCGCCTCGAGTGCTTCATCGTTCGCTCGACATCTGAGAAATGTCTCTCCGGCGTAGACCGATCGTCCCTCGAGGAAATCGCTCACTCCGTGTAATTTGCACCCTTGCGACTGTTAATCCAAAGAATTGGGGAGACACCTGGATACCCTCGATCGAGGACGTCTTTAACTTAACTTGGCGAGTTTCCACCTTGGTAGATTACGGCTCGTTCCTTTTATTTCCCCGCCTACTGGTTCTCGTGGTTAGAGAAATACGAAAGAATTTTGTTCGGGATTCCTCGATCAATTCCTCCGTGTGGCTCGAACGTTCGATGGGCGGGGACCGCCGAGATCGTTTGGATCAAGGTGACGAAATGCTGAAGATCGTTTCGGAACTTCCTTTCCCGAACGAACCCTTTCTTTCGTTCTTTATTTCGGATAGTTTGATTCTAGTCCAAAGATCGAGGAATAAGATACTCGAAATTTTCTCGATGATGAAGTTTTGCGGAACATTAAATCGAATGATTCTTTCATTAAAAAGTTGGGAAAGTAGTATCCGAGATTGATATTTTATTCATATATCTTTCCGATCTGGTACGAACGAAATGTCTTTTCGATCATTTTTTTACATCTTTACGCAATAGAATTTATTAAACTTCTTAAAAATTTCAAAAATTGGACAATAATTCTTTTCCAATATCATTTCTTGAATCTTTATAGTATATAAAAGATTAATATGTCTTCGATAATCCAATTTAATGGAGGAAGATATACTTAAAACTTTTATCATCTCATAACGTTACAATTTTCAAAAAATAAAGAAAATAGCTCGCTTATTAAAAACTAAAATATATCTTTAAATTTTTTTATTTCTAATACACACAAATAATCTTGATCAAAACGAAATTCATGAAAATCATCGAATTACGAATATTTTTCTCAACCAAATGCACTCGTGAAGACGCTCGTGGATCACTCGACAGAAGCTAGATAAAAAAAAAAAAAAAGCTTGTTATATTTAAGTGACCCACATTCTTTTTCTTATCTTCTCTCGATGGAAATTGCCAATTTTCTCTGCACTTTCGGACCGCGGAGTCCGTTTCTCCAGTATCGTGTTCTTACGAGAAGCTTTCGAGGCGTCTCCCCGGTCTCATTAACCTGCCCTTTCATCCGGATACTAGTCGCTCGTCCGATGGCGAGTTTAATCAGCAAATTCGTTGAACCAGTAAGCCGTCTGCATTTGTCTCTTTGGCTCACGATTAATTAGTATCCAGATTAATTATCCACAGTGGTAGTATCTTTCCTCAAAGACACGTTATTCAGCATCAATGCATTCCTGTCGCATCTTTGTGTTCCTCGTTTGTTCTTCTAAAATAGTAATTAGAGGTTAAGATACCGAATAGAAGGATAGATGAATCAGAGATATTTTATAATAATCCGTATACATTGGTACACTACGTACATGCGATACACTGTATTACATGTTATTTTTTTCAATCTTCTGTTGCACTATTTAACGATATTATAAACACAAACTTCCAATAACTTGTAGAAAATCTCCAAAACGCATTTGAACGCGACACGGTCACGTGTCACTTAGCCCGCACACCACGTGACACTGTCTACGAAGTTAATTGTCGCTGCTGCCCCCTTTCTCCAAATCTCGATCGATATTACCGATCGACATCACTGCATCGCACTGCATCCTTACTTCACTATGCACATATCCAATCACTTTTGATCCGTAAACCAGTGTAATTATCCTATTCCTCGATGACCAAATCGATATCCCTCAATCACCACGTAATTACACACGACAAATTAACCCTCCAATTGCCATTGATGGTAATAAACAGAGAGAGGGAGAGAGAGAGAGAGAGAGAGAGAAACACTCGTCACTGAAGAATCATTATCCAACGTGTACACAAAGGGAAATGAAGCGTAAAAAACAAGGTACGTAATGTCGAATAATCTCGTGTCACATTGTTAACTCGAAAATGATTTCACCACAGAATAATCACAATGTCGATCGTGCGCATCGCGATACGCGTTGACAGGCGACCGGTGGTGTATCTTTTCGGTACGAGAGTTCGTAGTTGACAGAAAGCCTTGGCGGGAGCTGCACGACGAATAAGGTGCCACTCCCACCCGCGCATGCTCCTCCACTCCGAACCTCGTGCCCTCTACATCGCGCTTATGCTTTCATTGGGCCTCTCTCTCTCTCCGCTCCTTACCTCGCCCTTTGCTCGACCCATTCTTGTATACGCATCTCACTTTTCGTTCCTTGTCGGCCTCACGTTTCTTGTTTTGTTTAAACGCGTTTTCTTTCCGTTTTCAACCCTCCCTCTCACATTTGTTCATTGCCTTCGTCGATCACGGACTCTCCCCACTATTGTTTCGATTCGATGGCACGTGCTTCGCCGCGCCCGGCTATTCCATAAACCAATTAATGTGAGAAGTAAGTTAGAGATCGGATCCGTATTGCGTTGGAACGTCAATGCTCGAGAGGATGATACCCAGGGATGTTAATGTTTTTTTAGTGAGTATTCAGACTTGTTTGATATTAATTGAATTTTATATTTATGTAATATTTGTTTAAATATTTTTTAGATTTTTTTGAAATTGTAAATATTTTAAACACCATTTTCGATTAAAATCTTAAGTATCGTATCAAATTTAAATATGATCTATAATCATGCATAGAAATAGACTATTTTTATTCAAAATTGAACGCAATCTAACGAATTTTCAAATCAAATCCAAATCTAATCCTAGTAAAAGTTGAAGAATTCGAACATAAGCGTTCCAGAAGCTCGTTTTCAATTTCAAGCTCACGAAGCTCATTTGAGCTCCCTCACGTTTCGCTGGAACTCCGATAACAACGATCTCCTTGGGACAGATCGAACTATTCTATTCAAATCGGCCGTCAACTCGGCAATTCATAGCACGTACGCTCGAGTATTGCTTCACGGATAATTGTTCCGGTCCTGACTACGCGAATCACTATCGATTGTGCTCCAAGAAATTAAATATACAGGCTGGACGATTAATCAAGTCACGTAGGGGGTACGAAGTCGATAATCTGTAATAGAACGTGTATCAAATAGCCGTGTAACAGCGCCCTCTATTCGGCCAACATAGTCGAATCGTCGATTATTCATAACTGGCATCGGAAAACTGCCATTATGTAAATTAAATTTTTAATGGTGTCACGATTATTCGTTTCACGACAAATTCCTTTTAATTTATCTCTTCCTCCTGCCGTGTGCACTTTGCAGTCTTTTAATCGAAATTGTTCCAAACTCCAGTTATTCCAAGACTCTGTTTTTACTCCAAACTATGTACGTACTATGTATATCGTATATCGTGGAGAAACAATAGATCTTTTAACTTTTTCGTTTCATTCGACCATTTGTCTGAAAGTAGTTGCACGATTGACAATAATTCCATAATTTTATAAATTTTCCTTTTTTTTATATTTTATTTTATCATTGCAAGATCATATCGAGGTGACATCGTGCATTTCGACAATTATATTATCGAGATTCTTATTATCATGAAGATAATAGTACAATATTTTTTTATTAATTTTAAATATATCAAAATATCAAAATAATACCTATACAAAAATTAAACAATTAATTATTCTATCTCACTGTCCCTCACTCTCATCTTCAACATATGCATAGTACAGTAAACTATAGTATCATATAACATTGATCAACATTCTGGAAATACCTGTTTCCAATTATGTATGTTCACATTTGGATTGAATAGAATTGACAAATAATATTTATACGAGCAAATAAATGGATGAACAATCTCAAACTCGATAAGATTCGATAATTTAAATCACACAGGCTAGATAAAAGTCCTTTACTCACACTTTGATGACATGGTACTATCCTGCACCACTTTGTCCAGTTATCCAACGGCCACTGTATAAAGCTAATTGAAAAAAATTCGCTCACGTTGCAGTCTTTTGAAGGAAACAGCATTAACCAACCTTTTCCCTGGCAAAATTTCGGTAAAAAAAAAAAGAGAGAGAGAAAAAGAACCAGGGATAAAAGATGAGATGGAACAAGAAGGATAAATCTTGGTCAGTTTTGAATAAGTAGGTTAAATCGTGGTGTACGTAAGCTATTCGTAGATCTGCGCGATGATTAGTCTCATTTTCAGAATTTTTAAGGATTTTCAATATTTTTGAAACGTTCGAAGATTGCTGCAAATTGCGAAGAATATTGAAGAGATTAAAACGAAAGTTTGGTTATTGGATGAGAGACTTTACCTTAGGTAAATTTTAAGAAGATTTACTTGATCGTTATAGAAGGCGCGTTTTTATTCTTGTAATAAAATTGTGAAAATTTCGTACAAATATTACAATTTTTAAATTCCACTCAATTTATCATCTACGATATATAAAAAATTTTTGGAAATGAGATTTTCATTTTGTAAAATATATTTGATATTTTTTCAATCAAAAATTTTGAAACGAACAATTTTACAGAAAAATCATGATAAATTGTTATATATATATATTAAAATATTTATTATCCATTTCATATTTATATAATAGAAATTATTTATTTAATTTTGAGATTAAATATGTATTTTTGCATTTTAAAATATTTCAGGAATATTAATTTCCTTGTATCGTGTTCCATTTCATAATACTTTGTGAATTTATATTTCAAAAAACTATCTTTTATCCTAAATAATTATTCACTCACATCAAAGTACTTCCTTTTGAATCAGAAGAAAATCAATAGGGATGAATTTATTTTATACCGTATATGAGTATCAATATACTTGTTTTTTCTTTCTCTCAGTACGTGGATATCGCATTAATTCTGATTGGATTAACTGATTTAGATTAATTAAACTGCATACTGATATGTAACTTTTTGTGCAGAAGATTTAAATAACGTGTTATTGTCATGCAAACAATCTGTCGCCAAAAAAATATAGCTCTGGTAAAAAGATTTGCATTGATAATCATCCTTTTTTTTTTCAAGAGAATACATTTTCACGATAAAAAATGAACATGATAAAGATGTAGGATGATAATATAATATCATATTAACCGTAAGCATCATTTTTCAACTAGGACGCTACACAATGTAAAGACATAATTGCTCTTCAAAATACACGTATATAATTAATATTTATAAATTATAAAGTCCGGAAAAAACAACGACATAATAATATGACAAAAAAATTGTTTTTAACATAACAATCATATTACAATTAACAAATGATTTATGTTTTCGACAATCGAATAATATTTTATTTACAATATTTTATCATGACAATATATCATCATATCATCTCTTTCCAAATTAAACAACAATTTTATACAAATATCTTCGTTCATGATTCAATTAACATTTATTTAATTCAATTTGATTATAAATAAAATTCCTTTCCTTTCTTCATTTAAAAAAAAAAAAGAAAAGAAAAGAAAAAGTAACTCTTTCGAACTCTTTCTTATTCTCTCAAAACGAAAAGAGAAAAAGAAAACTGAAATATTAAAAAAAAGGATAAAAGAAAGAAGAACAAACCATGCAAAACTCGACAGAAAACGAATGGTGAAGCACTCTTTAACATAGAACTGAGAAGAACCGCGCAGTATCCAATTTTTATTCGCTTCCTATTTCGCCACTCTCCTTTATTCATTATCCACACGCAAAACGTTTGCACCAAGGTGCGAAACGTGTAAAATAGAAAAACAATATTCCACGGACGAGAGAGAGAGAGAAGGCGAATAGTATAAGCTGGCTCTACGAAAGCAGTCAACCTCCCCTTGGAATATCGATTAAACGTCGATTAATATTCATCAGCGTGGCGAATTGCGCGTGGTAGGAGGGAGAGGGTGGTGGGGTTTGGGCCCGCGTTGAATTTAAAATCAACGATTATAAATTAAGTCGTTCTCCCTGTGCGAAGACTCTTGTACGGCCTCGCGCATTTCACCATCGATTCGGTATCTGGTGTATCGTGTCGTGCTCTGGGGAGGGGGAGGAAAAAAAAAAAGAAGAGGGAAAAAAAAAGAGAAAGAAGAAAAAACAACAAATCGATACGATTCCGGCCGTGGAAAGCCTTTTATTTGAAGGCGTATCGGTATCGCGCGCAAACGAAATACAGGAAATTTAATAAAATCGAGTCGAGCAAATAGAACTTATTGCTGGAATTCGATTTCACGGTTTTAATTTTTTTTTTTTTTTAGAAGAGGAGGAGGAGGAGGAGGAGGAGGAGGAGAAGGAGGAGGAGGAAGGAAGGGAGGAGAGAGAGAGAGATCGATCGGTGGATCTCGTCGATGTTGATTTTACCCAGGTGTTTGAAATATGAGCTGTTCACGTGGCAAATTAATGGTAATATTCGAAGTTTATTTCGAATGCAATTATGATGTATTTAAATTAGTTACGGAGGGTTGGAATGTAATCTTCGGTCGGGAATTATTCCGAGCATCACGTTTTTGCAATTATGGATGGTATGATATAAAAAAGTAAATGTATTAAAAAATACGAGAAAAATGTAAAATGCCGGGGGAAAAATATAGAGAAACCGTGAATAAAATCATGCAGTTACTGCCAGATGCTTCCGGCAGCCAAACTGTAATTTTATTATAGCGTTGAGATGATAAAGTTGTTCTGGAAAAAAAGGATATTATATATACAGATATGATATATCTGTATACCGTGGATTTTAATTATATATACGATGGTAATGAATTTTTATAAAAATTTTGTTTGAGTATAATTTAATACTATAATTTTATAATAGAATGTTAAGAGAGATTTATTGCATCTTTCTTCTAAAAATGACGATTCAAAAAAATATACATTTTACAATGTAGTAAAAATATTCTTGTGATTGTTGGAAGAATAATTTCTTTAATAAGGAACATCTTTATGATTATTTATTATTACAAACAGAAAATGTTCAAAAATCGATTCTTTTTTTAAAAGTATTAGAAAAAAATTTCTTCTCTCTGATATCAGATTAAAGAGGAAGTAATATTTTTCGTAAAAATTTCAATTTATATTTGTATTAAAATCTGTTAAATAATGAGT